GATGCACAAATTGACCTGGCATGAAGTTGTAATTTTGTTTGGTTATTTTTCTAGCAACTTGAGCAGAATTCGTGCTGCAAATGCGCAGCATTCGTGGCTTTGATGATTTTACGCATTTGCGTAGAAATTTTGTTTTAATTTGCGTACAACTTTTTCATTGAAAAAGATGCGAAAAAGATGTTGGCCGGTACTCTGGCCAATTTAGAGACTGGGATGCGTTGGCTCGGCACCCATGGACTGGCCGAGTCGGCGGCGAGTCCATTCAGTCTCAAGAGCTGCGCAAATGTAGCGCGAAAATACATGTGCCAGGCGCACAGCCAGAGATACATTTGGTCTGGCCACGCCCCAGCGAGCAGCACATTAAATTGACAAATTTCATTCATAGCATATTCGCGTTTAATCTCGTCCGGGCGAGTACAGCTGGCAATTAAATAGCAAATGCTATATAAACGTGAGCTAAATGCCGAGTTTTATCTCACAGATACAATGGCCCGGCCCGGTCCGATCCGGCTCGGCCCGTTGGCCAGACAGCGAGTTAGCCAGCCAGCGTCGGCGGTCAGTTGAAGTTTTCTTTTGTTTACTTCCAGGGAAACGGGGGAAATGTGCAATAACAGCTTCGAATTTGTTGAATTTGCCGATTACATTGTATAAACACAGACGCCATTGCAGATAATTCGCTTTCAGCGCAAAACAGTCCTCGTCTCTGGATTCGGATGGTACCGGAACCAGAGTGCACTTGGTAACTGTAACGATGGCGTCTACATTTTATCGGGGCCCTGCCCTGGAATCCGCATCTGTTCCTTGGGCAGTTTAGTTTCACAGCTCGAACGTGTCGCAGTGAATTTTTATATTAACAGTTCGGCCACTTCGGCCAAATTCTTCTCAATTCGAGCAGGTTAAACTTTGAGGAATTCCGATAAATGATAAAACTGCAACCCGGCCGAGCAACAGGTATAATACCGCATTCCAAATATCAGCTTGGAGACATTTTACTATCTATTTCAACAAACATTTCGGCTAGTCCATAAATCACAGCAACAAAACCAGTAAAAGCTCTCGACTAGGAGATACCCTGCATCTAGAGCCGAGCTGCCACTAAAAACTTTTCTAGCTCTCTTCTAAACATAGATATCCCCTCTTAGCCAGACAATATGATATATACTTTCCTGAGGAACTTCGGTGCTTATAGTCCGATCTTTTTGAAATTTTCAGGACTTAAGTATGGCATGCAAATATGTGTATATACCAAAGCTCAAGGCTGTTTTACCAAAAATTGAGCTTTATTTATCTTTCATAGGTGGAGGGCAGGGTGGAATCTAAAAAATGAAGGAATCTAGATTTGAGTACATTAAGCAAATGCTTTCACACCAAATTTGGCGTGTCTAGCTCTCATAGTTTTCGAGTTATGCTCAAATAACTGAAATTCGATTTTGTTTTCTATCGATTTCGTTAAAACTAGGCTAGTTATCGATAACTTGAAATAATCTTGATCTGTTCGTGCATCCGGAGAAATTCCTTTTCAAGTTTTAAGTCTATAGCTTTTAAACTCTCTGAGATCAAACAGGCGAGCCAACAGATATGGGTAGATCGACTCGGCTTTGATGAGATAATATAATACTTTATAAATTTGCACAAGAGCATTAAACCCCTTTAATGCATTTACAATGTGTTGAGGGTATAAAAACATTAAAAACTTTTATTAGATTCAACTTTAATTAGAAACTAATGAGGCGCTGGCAACAATAGAGTCGTTTGGCTGCGATTTGGTTAACAAAACAGCATACAACTCTATAAAAACTGAAACGGACAACAGATGCAACAGAAATAGATCCAAGACACATACACAAGGTGTCCGCTTTCAGCTTTGGGTGGCTGGCAGCGAGACGCTCCCGCATGCAGTTAAATTGACAGGCGACCAAACAAGCGAAGACAATAACAATAACACTCAAATTAAAAGCTTATAAAAGTCAAGCACACACACACACACACACGCACGCACAACCAAAAGCAAACAGTAGAAATCGGAAATCTGACAGATAACACGTTCGAATGGACGCGTTTGTAAAGTAAATTAAAAATGTGTAAGTCGAGCTGAAAATAAATTAAATTCATTTAGTTTTTATTCGAATGCCTGCCACAAGAGGCAGCCAGGCCCAGATAAAACATCTATGTGAATAACTGCCGCCTAAGCAATGGCAACGGCAGCCGGCAGCCGTTTCCCATCAGATAAAGTATCTTTGAGGTTGCTGCTGCGACTAGCTGAGTGAATGCTCGCAAAGATTTGGTGCCGTGTGGGGCATCTACTATATGCTATATGCCATAGGCCCCTCCTTCATGGGCACAGATCATATCGGAGTGCCATTAACTGAGCATCATATGCATCAATGTGCTACTTGATTCTAAAATTGTAATCGGGTCAAGAGGCAACATTCAAAAGATACTTTTCTAATCAAATTCAAACAAGATAAAATTAATTGACATGTTAATATAATAATAATGCGTAATTGAACAATTTGTGAAACTTGAGCCTGTTGCAGGCAAATATCATTTTATAATATTATAATATCTGTTCCGGTTCCAGTCCGGAGTTACAACTGATATTTTACTATGCACCGAACCCTAAGCCTAAAGTTTTTCCTTTTAGAGGCGAACTAAACTGTCTTTATTCGAAAACTGGATTGTTAGAAAAGAAAAATCCTTTCAGGAATTGCATTTATCTAAACATAGTTGATAGAAGCCACCTTTTGTTAAAGGTCTAATGTATCTTGTAAATAAAAGTACTTATGACTTGCAATCTTTTCAGTAGAACGGGCGATTAAACGAGATCATAAATTATTATTAAATAATATAAAAATAAAAGAAAACAAAAAATATATTTTTAGAAAATATATGACAAACAAAAGTTTGCACCAGCAATAGATGTGGAAATTCAGGTGCACAAGCCGAACCTAAAGTACAGCTAGTTGATTTGAACCGTTAACCGAAAAGTCGACAGTTCTCTTCGGCTTGCAGGTCTTCATATTATAACTAGCTCAAAGATAGATCTGGCTGCAATTGAACCCTTGAGTTCAGCTGCCTGTCAGGTGAGGTTCAGCTTTTAGAGAGTACGTGAAAGGAAGAAAATGTTAAAATCTAAGAAAACAAGTAAATTATTATAATTTCAATATTTTGAATAGCTAGCGAAAATGTTGCTTGGCGAATAGTCGAACGCTTGTGTATATCGTATGACTGTGTTGTACACAATTTCATCTATAAATTATGGCCAGCACACGAGCAGATTGTGCATATATACTAGTACCTACTTATATAGCGTATTTCGTTTCACGCGTTTTGCTTGTTTACTTGCGTCAAACATAAAACAAGCCAAAAAATATCTGACGCTTGGCCAAATGCAGAGCGGATCGGGCGGGAACGGGCGGTACCAGCGGATCGGCCGGCCTAGGCCGATGACTCAAGAGCAGGCAACCAACTTGGCGTTGGTATTTTCGTTACAGCAGCCAAATGAAATGCTTTGTATATATAATCTGCCTCACACACAGAGTGCAAGCGAGAGAGAGAGAGGGAGAGCTGAAAATTGAAAACAGATCCAAGAATATCTCGAATCGCTGCGGCGCAGTTGCCTCAATTTGAAAACATATACGAGGTGCGAGCTGCTTAGACTTTAACCCGTAGCTAGGGGAGGGAGGCTCTGCGGGCAGGGGAATGCCAACAGATCGGAAATCTTGGCGCATCTCAATTTGAAATTCACGTATGTAAAACAGACAGACGATGCGTGGGCCAGCGCGATCGATTGCAGTGCGACCTTTGCAGATATTCTATCTGACGGATACACTTGCAGCTCCTGCTCTCTGTATCTGTAGCTGTAGCTGTATCTGCTGCTGCTTCTTCTTCTCCTCCCTGTAAGCAGAGATGCGGCAGCGACGTGGTAATTTTAGAAAATTTTCTACATAAGCAATAACACAACACTGAAAACCATGCGCCCCATTTAATAATATTGTGTAAAAGTTTATTTTCGTTGTGGCTGTTCGCCGAGCTGACGTCGCCGTCGTCGTCGTCGTCGCCGTCGTCGTCGCCAGGCGGGGGGCGCATATAGAAAACCATACTTTGATAATGGAAGCATTGGCAATACACGTGCGCACCTGCCACACACGCATTAGCTAATCTAAACGATCGACTAATCGACTTTGACAACATGGGGTCCAGTTCATTTGTTTGCTTTCTCATTGGGCCAAAAGTGTTCCTTCTGGCCATATTTCATAACTTGTTTTGTTTAACATAAATGTGGAAATATGAAAATGTGCACATTTCCCTAATGCCACTCTCAACAGTTTTATGTGTCTCAATTATCGTTTTTACAATCTTAAACAAAACATTCCAAATGTTGGCAATAAAAATATGAAAAATTGCCCCCAATTAGCATGGTAATTATTGGATCCTACGAATGCGCCTAGCATAGCATTGATTAATGGCCAGTACGCAGAGTCGCAAATCGAGGGACTTTATAAACATGCTGCGATCTCTGCTTTATTTCATAAGAGTCTGAGGCAGCGACTATCTCAAGTAAGTTAAATAAAAACTGCATTGATTTGTATCTACACGTGAAATGTATTGTATATATATATATATATATATATATTGCCAATCAATATCATCAGTTGGGCTAATTCAGCACATTCTTTCCTATCCAAACTTGGCATTCATATGTTTAGAGTTAATGAATTGTTATCAACATCGTAGTACTCAAAATGATCTTGTTTTACATAATATCTTAACTAATCAGTTGTACCCTCACATATGAAAAAGAAAACTTATCAATAGATAGCACATGCAAGGAAATTTAATCTTCGACGCGCTAAAGTTAGCATTGGATCATTTAGGAAGAAACGCAAAGCAGAACATGTTCACATTAAAGAATTTTGACTGCAGAAGTTTGAACTAAAGCTTGCTTTAAGATCGACTCCTATTAATCTATTTTCCCAACATTTGCTTTCTTTCTGCAGCGCTCAAGAAACCAAAGACAAGCTGAGCCTAACTCTCACTAGGCTATTGATAACGTGAGCTATTCGCGGGGATTCACACGCATCGATTCGCAGAGCTTCGATTCAGAGGGCCCAGCTGCCCGGTTCGGAGTGCGAGTGCCACTCACAGATTATGCTGCAACATCCCGCCACCGACTTCTACGACCTGGCCGCGGCCAATGCGGCTGCTGTGCTCACCGCCCGGCACACGCCCCCCTACAGCCCGACGGGGCTGAGCGGGTCGGTGGTCGCGCTGCACAATAATAACAATAATAGCACAAGCAATAATAACAATAATAATCTCGATATGCTCACGCACAACGGAGGCGGCGTGGGCGTCGGTCTGGGCGGGGGCGTGACTGCCACTGGACTGCACCTTAGCGGCGGCGGCAGCAATGGTGGCCCAGGTGCCGCGGGCGGCGGCAGTGCAGCCACAGCCGGACGTGAAACTCTGCCCAGCTTCGGCTTTACGCAGGAGCAGGTGGCCTGCGTGTGCGAGGTGAGCTGCTGCTGGCGAGGATTACGGCCTGCTCAGCTGCCAACATTAAGTTATTCTGTTCTGTATTTTAGGTGCTGCAGCAGGCGGGCAACATCGAAAGACTGGGCCGCTTCCTTTGGTCGCTGCCACAATGTGATAAACTGCAACTGAACGAGTCTGTGCTGAAGGCCAAGGCGGTCGTCGCATTCCATCGTGGTCAGTACAAGGAGCTGTACCGGCTGCTCGAACATCATCACTTCTCGGCCCAGAATCACGCCAAGCTCCAGGCCCTGTGGTTGAAAGGTGACACGACATCCTCCCCTCCCCCTCTCCCCACCTCTCTCTCTCTCTCTCTCTCTCTCGCTCTTCGATCACGTTTTTCCACTCTCTCCCAGTCACTCTTTATTCTCCAAGTGCTAACCCGAAATTCTTTTACTGTAGCGCATTACGTGGAAGCCGAAAAACTGCGCGGAAGACCTTTGGGTGCTGTGGGCAAATATCGTGTTCGCCGTAAATTTCCACTGCCCCGCACCATTTGGGATGGCGAGGAGACGAGCTACTGTTTTAAGGTGAGTACCGCAGACACCTTTCCCCAGCAGTTGCCCCTGCCCCTGCTCCTGCCTCTGCCCTTGCTGCGCTCCTTTTTTGCCTTGCCATCTTGCTTCGCATTGCCACATTAATTGCGGCAACAAAGGGCACAAAATGAAATCGTAGAAATGTCCGCCTCGTCCCAGCCCCTGCCCTGCCCTGCCCTCGACTGTCGGGCAACGCCTCCTTTCCTGTGCTCCTTGTGGGCTCGCCATCGTTTCCTGACGGACACTGTTTGCACTTGGGCTTTATCTATGCGGGCTTTCAATTGATTAAAAACATTTGCATTCATGTCAAATATTTAAGGCTATTACAAAAGATGGGAGGCCTAGGCAAAAGGGGGAAGGAACAAGTGCACTTTTGCACCTACTCTTGGTTAAAGTGGATAATCTATAAGACATTTTCCAAAATCTTCAAATGAATTTGAGGTGAAGCATTCAGAGAAATAAAAGAAAACTGCAAATAATAAGAAATACATACAAATATCAGTTACCATAAAGATATAAACACTTTATGAAACAAATATAGAAAAAATTGAATTGAATTCATAGTGAAAACCAAGTGCTCGAACCGAACCATGAAACATGCCATTTTTGTATACCCTTGTATAGAGTATTATGATATATAAGGCATACACATATGAGATATGTCAATTAGTAGGATCTTTAAAGGGAGAATTTTCTGTTTTTAAAGATCAGACTCGACATTTTCCAGCTTTACAATTCGCACATGTCAGGGAAATGTCTACAAAAGAGTATTAAATCTCGGCGTGCCAAGTAAATATCCTTACTTTGTAGTTAGCTATTCATCTTTGTCTTTCATATCTGGAAGGAAAAATTGTAGAAAGAGAGAGAGTATACTAGTTAGGAAGGCGTCTTTTAGGCAACAAAGCCTTTGCCTATTGAAAGCCGGAAAGTGCAGACTCTATCTATTTTATAAGTTCCGATAGCTTTACTTCGTGTCGTGCCACAATGAAAACCAAGTATGAATAATATCTAATAGTTATTGTTTCGTTTACCTTGTTCAGGAGAAATCCCGCTCGGTATTGAGAGACTGGTACGCGCACAATCCGTATCCATCGCCGCGCGAGAAGCGCGACTTGGCCGAGGCCACAGGACTGACCACGACGCAGGTGAGGAAAATCGTTGACAAATGGCATTTGTTATTTGTCATAAATTGTATTTTTATCTTTACACCTTTACAGGTTTCCAATTGGTTCAAGAATCGACGACAACGAGATCGCGCTGCCGAGCACAAAGAGTAAGTTTTCTCTCTCACAAAAAAATATCCCACAAATAATATTAATAACATATATGCATGCATTTATTATAAATAATTTTTGGTTAAGTGTCAACGCGTGCGAAATGAATTAGCATTTCAATTTCAATTACAAAAGCTGACGACGCGTCCGTTTACTTGGCTTTTACATGCTGATAACAAGGTCAATTTGAGGCTTTTTTCTGTGGGTGGGGTCGGGCTAATTAGTGTCAAGGACACGGCCGTTTTTCACGTGAATAATATAAACTACATAGCATACCGAAAATATGAGCATTTATTTATATGGTAAATGTGGAAATGTGGCTGACAAATTCATGAACATGCCGTTCCACATATTCGATATTTGTGTGGATCTTTGTTTTCATAGGCGCATTGTCATATGCTTGGCAGACTGCGGCCGCTGACTAAAACTAATGCAGCGAGTCCTTGCCAAGAGAGGACATTTGGATGTTTTCGACAAAAACATCTGCATTTCCGCTTAAGCAAATAGGCAAACATTCCCGAAACTCTTCTCTGGCTGTTTTGCGGCATGTTTCAGATGCTTGGCCGCTGATAGGCAACTTTTCAAATATTGAACATCCTTTTGGGCATCCTTTTGTTTGCCTTCCCTCTCTCGCTCTCTCGCTCTCGCGTTAGAAGTCATGTGAAGCGCAAACATGAATAGGCAGCGAAATGTGAAATGGAAATTGAAAATGGGAAATGGATTTTAAAGTGGCCGCAACAATGTTGAACTAACTAACACAAAGTTCGTTTCGCATCTGTGCCTAAAACATATATTCAGATACATTAAACTAAACAGCCTATCAGTTACTCAAAGTGCACAAAAGATCCTCAATTCGCAATTTCCAAAAAAAAAAAAGCACACATATATTAAAACAATAATAACAGCGAAAAATTGTCGCAATAAAAATAAAAATTGGCCGCCGTAGCAACCGCAGTGCACACACACACACACACACTCACGCTCAGATACATATATGCAGCTGACAAAAGTATCTCACAGATACTTTTGCATAAAGGCGGGCAATGCCTACGGTAGTTTGCACTACGTAGCGTCCTCATGGCTTTTTATTTTATTATTCTTTTTGTTGTTGTTGTAGTTGTTGTTGTTGTTGCTGTTGTTGTTACTGGTAACCTGATATATGTTTATGGCTGTGCCGCGTCGGGCAGCAGCAACAGCAACGGCAACGGCAACTCGGCGCTGCTACTTTAACTTTTCATATATAGTTTTTGTTTTGAGTGTGCACTAAAGACTCGTCTAAAGGTACACACACACACATACACACACACACACACACTTATGCACGAATTTGTGTGCTCCATTGTAGTTCGACTTTAATGTGTTTCCCGAACGGTCCACCAAGCATAACGACGCCAAAGCCCACAATTCTACGAGCTGTCGAGTGTTTCTCGACCAACTGTCGTCGTTTAACATAATTGCTGATAAAATCTGAAACTTTACATACTAAATTTACACCTCAAAATTACCTCAATTCAATTGGTTGTTGAATTAATTTCAATTTTAGATATTGATAGGTTAAAATCTTAAAAACAAAACTATTTCATGTTTTCTCATTATCTAAACGATTCTTCGCATAAACTCCGATCCAACATGGAAATATATAGACAGATGTATATCTGATATTGGTCAGGAATGTAGACATATTGGGTTCGGATACATTCCTTCAATGCGCTAGAAATGCGTTTCGTAACTATATTTATAAAACTCCTCTTCAAGGATAAAAGAGTCAGAAATCAATTTTAGGTTTCATCTTGTAAAAAACTTTAAAAAATTATATGAATCTCCTAATATACCCCATGTGTCTTTCTTTTGAGTATTGTATTGTGAGATTAAAGTCAACAATACCCTTACACTTTATTAACAATATTTTACATACATCTCTTATATGATGCGTTACGAAAATGAGTAAAAAATAGTTAATACTTAGTTAAAATGTAGATTAGAAACTTTTGTGTAGCAGTAAACGTAAAATACAACGAGAAAATTTATTGTTCCAAATGTTTATCTGCAACGAACGATCGGGGAATTATCGAACAACTGTTTGATCCGTGTTAACCAAATACAAAGCACAATGCCATTCGCATATAGTCCACAGTGGAGGATATAGCCGTTATAATGACCCGATATCGATCAATGTACATCGTTACGAACAGCATGTGCTTCTTGTTGGTGACCTGGAAGTACCACAGATTCGATGCGGCGCCAAGTAGATCCCAATTTGGCGGGAAGACAACATCCAAATGCTTTTCCCCAACGTACTGGAACACGGCATAGTAGAGGCCCAGAACCATCATTGGGTACAGAACGGGTAGCAATATGAAGAAGAGCATGCCGCACGTATAAACGCATTTCAACAGCGTCGGAAAGGGCAGCTGCTGCAGCCAAATGTCAAACAGGTGCTCCACCAGAGGCTGCATGTAATAGACCAAGCGACCCGGCCATGATATCTTCGCCCACTGGAAGCGAAACGCATGAATGCAAACGTTCAGGGAGTGGGGCAGTGGGAGAGTAGGGCAGTGGGAGACTGGAAGAGTGGAAGACTGGAAGCGTGTGTGTGTGTGTGTGTAGAGCTTACGACTTTGCGCTTGTGCAGTGGCTTCTTCCAGGTCTTGTGCATTTCAACTGGCAAATTTTGTTTTTATTTTAATTTCTGTTCTATTACATCAAGCAAAAATTTAGTTAGTCGAACTTTTTGTATTTTTAATGCCTACTACATATCCATAAGGCAATCGGATATCATAAAATCAGGTTTATTGGAAGAAGTTTATCTTTTTTTTCCAATATTTATTCCCATTGCCAAAATATTGATTTTAAGACATGTATAATGTAATATTGTCAGGCTAAGAATAAAATTGCACAGCCGGAGAATAGAAGGAATTCAAAATGTTGTAAACGGCAGATCTGCGATGGGTTCAGGGTATCTCCTAGTCAGGCCAACTCTTTTGGCTGGAAAATGGTTGTAAAGGAACTTATGGCTAAATTTCCATGCTCCGTCCGAACGGTTCTAAACTTATTTCCAAATCCCTACAGAAAGGACTTATTGAGCAAAATATCCCAATATACTGGAAGTGTGTCCAAGAGAAAGTAACTATTGGAATGTCTAGAAAATATGTCAATATGAGAAAATGTAATGGATATATATATAAATTCATATGAAAGTGTGTATGTTAAGCATAATGTAAACTATCGACAGTTGAGGCAAGCCATGATTTCGGGATTTCAATTAAGGCTTCTTTGCTAGCCTTCACCTTCGTCATGGTTTGATTATGCTCCGAATCGTAGGACCTTTTTGTTTACAATGCACACGCTCCACATCCACAACAACAATAAGACGAGCAGCACCAGCAGCAGTTGCGCACAGAAAAAAAACGAAACCTAAAAAACCTTAATACTACTTCAAATGTGAGAAGAGTTCCAGTTCCAGTTCCAGTACCAGACCCCCAGTCCCAGACTCGGCCCGTTGTCTTGATGTTCATTTTTCCAACTGTGTGTGTTTGTAAGTGTGTGCATTAGTGCGAGTACATATATGTGTGTGTGTGTGTGTGTGTGTGTATGTGTTTGTATGTCGATCTCGGGCAGCTCAGGGCTCATCGTTTTGCGTTTGCGTTTGCGTTCGTCGAATGCCACGGTTGGCTGGAGGGTAGCTGGAAAGAGTATCAAGTTACCACAAAATGTGCGTGTGTTCTTTATTCGTTCGGCTCAGCGCCGTCGCCGTCGCCGTTGCCGTCGCCGACGTTGACGTTGACGTCGTCGCAGCGCGTTATTCATTTTTATTCGTTTTATTGTACATTCTGTTTTTATTATTATGTATTTTGCGCTTTTGCCCGTCTCTCTCTCTCTCTCTCTCTCTCTCTCTCTCTCTCTCTCTGTCTCGCTTTTGTGATTGTGTTTGTTTGCGCTGCTGCCTCTTCAGCTCCATCCCTCTACACACACATACACATGCAAGCATATGTGTGTATGTGCATACATTCTTATATGGGTCTGTTCGTCCCTTCACGTTCCCGTTCCCGTTGTCATTCCCGTCTCTGGAGTTCCGTGACGCATTTGGCAGTTGAGTTTTGCCGCCACTGATGGCGGTGATAATGATGTCGTTGGTGATGATGGACCGGTATGGAACTGAGACCTCAGCCGAAGGCGCTTGCCAACGGCATGCCAGGGGGGGTGAACAGAATCCCGCACAGCTCAGCTCAGCATTCGGAGGGCGCCTGAGCATGTGGCGGGTACTCATCGGGTGGGCGACTGTGTCAAGTGATTTACCCAACTATAATTAGAAAGCTGAGCACACCTTATCGCCGTGAATGTGGCATAAATAAGTGCACCACAAGATTTTCATTTATTCGACCACCCTTCCAGCTGCCTCCTCTCTAGAGTTCTCATTGCGCTTCGCGCCTGACACATTTTTCAATGGCAATGTTTCAATTTCTAGGGTTTCATTCGCTTTTCCTTTTGCGCCCATGAAAACAAGTTGAAGTTCGCCCCGCCACATAAATGCCGTAAGCTGCTTAAGGTCTTAAAAAGTGTTGGGGCATACGCAGAACTGGAGAAGTTCATCGGTCAAGTGGCAACCCTGGAAATCTTATGTGATAATTAAGGGAAAATAGAACTATTCCAAGACGTAATTATGCTCGCAACAAAGAACTGGTGAAGTCCATCAGTATTGGGGATCTTACGATGCCTAGAATTCTAGAATACTGATTATCTATTATTATACCCTTTTTCTATCTAATTTTTCTTATTTAACTTCCTTATAATTATTATTTAGGTTCTTATTATCTTCCTGTCAGGACTATCGTCCACTGATCTCTAGCATACTTATTCAGGCTGTGCCAGGTTCAAGATCGAACGAGATCCAATCATCAGCTGTTCAGTTATCTCAACACAATAACAAGAGTCAAAACAAATCAAAGGCAAAAAACAGAAGGTAGCCAGTGTTGGGGCTTAGGGGGGCGGGGGGGAGAGG